GGGCACCGCGGGGCGGGTCTGCGCTCGGCGCGCCCCGGCCCGGGCTCACCCCTGTCCCCACAGGTGGCGCTGGGCTTCGCGGACGGCAGCTGCGACCCGTCGGACCTGTAAGTCAGGGGGGTGGGAGCCGGAGCCTGGCCCCGCCCTGTGGGGGAGGCTCGGGCGGGGCCGTCGGCCCGGAGGGTGCCCCGCCTGCTCCAGGTGTCGCCGTCCCCGCAGGTGCCCGCCCCAGGCCCGCTGGAGCAGCCTGTGGCACGTGGGGTAAGTGCAGGCCGCCGCGTTCTCCCCCGGCCAGGCCCACCAGACCCCCACCCCTCCTGGCTCACGGATGAGGAGTCGCCAGCGCTGTCCCCTTCCGGGCGCTGATAGGAAGGCGCTGGGGCCCTCAGCAGCCTCCCAGGCTGGCCCCTGCTTCCTGCCCTCAGCACCAGGGCGGCCTGTCTTGTGGGCCCTGCCCCAGTCCGGGACTGCTCTGGGCACGCAGGCCCTTGGCAGGACTTCCCTTCATAGCCCGCTTGCCCACTTCCCAGCCCCTCCTTCCTCACCCCTGCAGGAGGCCCCTGTGGACATGGTCATTGGTCTGGGCACAGGATTGTGCGGATGGCCTGGGACGGTGTGTCCTGGGAGTGAGCCCAAGGCACTTGTGGCCAGCCCTGGAGAGAGCCAGGACAGGCCCGGCAGCAGGATGCCAGGACGGCGGGCTCCTCGGGCCCAGCTCTGGCCTGGAAGGAGGTCTCCAGCCTGGAGAGACATTCTCTGGTTTTCTTTTGTCCTGCCCATTGTCCTGTCTTGGATGGTGCCCAGCGGCCTGGGGTCAGTCCAGTGGTAGGGTCTCGCTCCTCCCTGCACAGGCTTATCTTACTCGCTGTCCTTCTGCTGCTGCTGTGTGGGGTCACAGCCAGCTGTGTCCGGTTCTGCTGCCTCCGGAAACGGGTACACAGCCAGCCACACCTGCCACCAACACCTCAGCCTTGTGACCTGACGGTCAGCCCTATGGATAGTGACAGCCCAGTGCACAGCACGGTGACTTGTGAGTGCCTGCAGACCTCACCTGTTGGCTTGCCTGCCTGCAGGGGGGAGTGGGGGGCAGGTGAGAGCAGACTCATCCCCACAAACCCGCTCTGGTTCCCTGCAGCTTACAGCTCTGTGCAGTACCCGCTGGGCATGCGGCTGCCCCTTCCCTTTGGGGAGCTGGACCTCGACTCCATGACCCCTCCTGCCTACAGCCTGTATGCCCCTGAGCTGCCACCCTCCTATGAAGAGGCTGTCAAGATGGCCAAACCCAGCCAGGAAGAGCCACCCCCCTCTTAGTAACCCAGTCCTCTCCCTGGGGCCTGAGGCCTAGAGATACCGGCGGGGCTCCAGGAGCCAGGCACCAATGCCCAACACCCCTGGCTAGAGCCCTGGTGCCCCTCAAGGGCAGAGGAAAACTCTCTTGAACCTCCCAATTCTGCCAGCTACTCTGTGCTCAGAGGGGACTGGCGCAAGGACACTTGCAGCCAGGGACCCCCCCCAGCACACCCCTGCCATCCGTCCCCAGGGAAGGCCAGCCCCCCCAGCACATTGCCACAGCCCCGGCCTTGCTGCTATGTAACGCCAGGCAGCCCAGCCAGCTGGCCCTGTGTTGACCACACACATGCACCCACACACGTAGGCTGCTTCATTCAGCCCTGACCCCACGGGCCTAAGCCTCAGGGCTCAGGGCTGGCTGTGACACCCCCAGCTTTTTGGAGAGAGAATAAAGTTTGTACCTAAGTGATCTCCATCTGTAGGAAAAGGCTCTGGGAGGGGCCTGTGGGTAGCCACCCCCCAGTGCAGGCAGAAGGGCAAGCGGTAGTCTTCGACCTGCCCCCGATCTGGCTTTCAGGCTGGTGTCCAGAGCCCAGAGCTGAGCAGTGGGTGGTGTCAGATGTCACAGCAGGAGTGACGGGCCATGTGCCGTGGCTGCCCTAGGAAAACCCTCTCCTTTCTCCAGTCCCAGATCTTTGCCAGCCTTTCTGGGCTAGGTAGGAACGCACAGTAGTCTGGC